GTGTTATTTTTAAATTAACTATTCAAGTAAATCTCTGTGTAGGAGGAATGCAGTTTTTCAAATAATAATCCATGTTTTCAAATCATGAAAACTTATCATATGTAATGAGAACTTAACTTTGATTGTGGAACGGTTTTAGTCTTGTCTACAGCAGATGGTAGAAATCAAGTGACCTTGGCTGATTTCAAAAAGTTAAACAGTCAGACCTGGATAGAGTTTAAATGGGACCCTACCAGAGAGTCCTTGGTCTATAGACCAAAATGGAAAATCCCAAAAAGCAACAATCCAGAACAAGGCAATGGCAAACCACTTCCATATTGACATCAGAAAAACAATACATGCATGTCAACACCAGAAACCAAGTTGAAGAGTTAGGGCCTGTTTAAACAATCACCCTTTTACATTTCTTTTTCCTTCTCTTATTTTGACTAAATCTATTCCATTTCAAAACATATCACTACACTGCAGGTCACTTCACAAATATTATGAAGATGGAGTGGTCTATAGGAAGAAAGCACTTCATACCCAACCAGTGTTGCCTTAATGGAATTCTGAAAATTTTATATCATTTTTTTTTAACTCTCTGATTATACCCAAATAAGGTATAATAAATAATATTACCAATAAAATATTGTTACTTTAAAATCTATTTTCTTCATCTTATACAGAGGCCCCCAAAAGGTATACCGTATTTTCCGGCGTATAAGACGACTTTCTAAACCCTGAAAATCTTCTCAAAAGTCGGGGGTCATCTTATATGCCCAGTCGTCTTATACGCCGGAAAATACGGGTATTCTATTTTATTCCTTTACACATGTGGTTTGGCATATTACTCATCAAGTTTTCTCTCCCCCCCTCTCTCGCTCAAACTCTATATTTTAACTGGAAAAGTTGGGGGTCGTCTTATACGCCGGAAAATACGGTAATTGTTTGGAGAGGGATAGGATTATAATTTCCTGATTGGAAATGGTTAGTGCCTTTATTTCCTTAGTAAGAATTGTTTGGTGTATTAAAAAAAATCTGTGGGAAAATAATTTGATAATTTAATAATTTAATTTGTAGCTGCGAACCTGCACCTTGCTTAGATTGCATAGCATATCAGAAAGTAGCAAATGTAGAGACATTCTTCTCTAAAAATGTCATACTTTAAGAACATTTTGGACATTCCTTTTTTATATATATATTTAAATACCCAAGCTCTGTCGTTTGCAACCTAAATTTATTTATAATCTCAAGCATCCAATGCTGGTCCAGTTATACAGGTTGTTCTTTCTCTTATTGATAGCTTTTCCTGACTGGCGTATATTCTTATTCGCTCTAAACCTTGACCCTGTGGTTAAGGTCAAGCAGATTTTTATAATCTCCACACAAATAGGTATTAAGCTAACTGAGAAATTATCTTGAGATTAGAGGGAAGAATCACCCCGGCAGATTTGACCTGTCCTGAGCAAGCCTATTATCCTCACATGACATGGAGGAAGCCATCCTATTACCAGGATTGAAAATCAATTCAAGATCTGGACTAGCCAGTTTTTATATCTGGAGTCTGTGTGTATGTGTGTCTGTCTTTCTGAGGTGTGCTGATGGCAACAACAACAACAACAACACCTTGTTGAGACCTACTTTTTATATCGCCTGGGCATTTTTCATCTAATTTAAAACCTCCCTTGAACCTTGTGAGTGCTGTAGGTTGTGAATATCTTCTTAAAATATGAATTGCCTTTTAAAATATGCTCTTGAATTCTACCCAGTTCTTGTTGTATTGTATCTATCAATGTAGTCACCACAGTTCTGTTTTTTGTTTGGGTTACTTTTAGATTCTGGCGTAGACCATCAAGCTCTTCTCAAACAGTTTGGGCATCTGAACCATCACAACCCTCACACTTTTGAAGTTAAAGATTTAGACATGCTAATCAAAACTGTAAGTGTTCAACAAATATTTTCACAGATGCTTGTTTTCTCTTTTTTTAAAAAAAATTCTATACTGGTCTGCAATTCTGTCTCTTAATTTGTCAGTTTTAAGTATCTTTCATAGATATCTCAGGAATCTTAACTTGGAACTCAATTTGAATCCATAATATAATGTTGTATTACACAAGATTTGTGCACTTAATAAGTGCCCCCCACCCATCTGCTCATGTTCCTTATAGTGCATCATGGATTTAATGTTCTCATGCCAATATAAGCATCTTTATATATTTACTAAGTCTTTAAACCGTTAAAATGAGCCAATTTAATTCCTCCTCACATTTTGTTATACTTGGAAGTAACTTTATATTAGTCAACCAATATTGTTTTACTGGATTAACAATCTGCTTACTTAACATTCAAACCAGTTTAAATATGTAGTCAGTTTTTTGAATAATAGTATAGTTTATTTTGCAATGTTAGAAAGGTACAATCATTTGCAACGTAAAAATCATCCCGTGATGGCAGGAAAAGCTTCTTCAATGCAGCAGATCCTGAATAGCTTTAAAATATAATTAAGTATATATTTGTTTAACATCTGCTCCACAGATAAATGAACTGTTGCATTTATTAACTTACTAATTAAAACTGTTTAATTTTTTTTTAAAAAAAGATAGTCCTCCATCAGGCAACAGAATTGCAGATATGAAAAGTATAGTTGAAATAAACGAATGGATAAATGAATGTGTAAAGATAGGTTGTAGAGAGAAGTGGCGTAATAGCTAAGCCATCAGGCTAGAAACTGGGAGACTGTAAGTTCTATTCCCACCTTGGCCCAGTCATCTATCTCAGCCCCAGGAAGGAGGCAATGGCAAACCTCTTCAGGCAATCTCTGAGCATCAGGAATGGTTGAACAGAAAAATAATAAAAAAAATAAAGATAGGGCAGATTTCCATGAAGGAAGCTGTGCTAGTCCCTGCATGCAGGAGGGAAAGAGGAAGTTAATGCCCCTCTCTTCCCAGCTGAGTGGCAAGAAAACAACTCTGCCCACATCTTACAGTTCCATGTCTATGGAGATTCTCAGTCATCCGGGTCATGGTTGCCTAAAGGTGCTTTTTCAAAGCGCAACTGGACTTTGTTTTTCCTTGAAAATGTTTCGCTTCCCATCCAAGAAGCTTCTTCAGTTCTGACTGAATGGTGAAGGATAG